AAAGAAAAGCGGAGAGTGATATTTGTATAGATTCCCAATTATGGGCTATTTTCAATTTGGAATATAGGCTAGGCTACACACTACAAATCAACTGGTGTAGCCTATTACATAATCCAGTAAACGCAATATGTTGATCATCAAATCAATTATAACAAAGTAACTTTTTATTATTGAAATAGCTCGTTTAAAATAGATTGTATGTTGATTACACCACTCTGACTTAAATTTTGCTGACTTGTAGGCTATTTTTCGAAATATTAATCATAGCTATTTCAAATCAAAATTGTAAAAAACAATCATGAAAAAATATGCCAACATGTTTTGTTTTTGTTTCAAGACTTCAAAGCTTTTTAATGAAACGAATTACCATCTACAGACAGGAAATTGTAAGCCCTGCAATAGCATATCTATTTATTCAAATCAAAATGAGCCCATGAGCGTCACGTCATTCACCCAAATGTTGCCAGAAACATTTAGCTTTCTTCCCTTCTCCGAATTGCAGAGCCGCTCACCGATGTAAGATTTATATGAGCAGCATCGTTCCCTCGCACACAAATGCGAACTCCCTCAGACACAAAGCCCGGGGGGTAAATGCACACACTTAAGTCGTGAAACTTTTGGCCACGAGCGCGCCACGCGCTTTCGGATCAGCTGGAGGGGGTGGGCGGGTAGGTTCTGTGTGGGCGGAGATTGTGAGCATCGCTAGAAAGTCAAAGCCGGGAGTCAGTGCTCTTCAGTGAGGCATGCGACGTGCTCTGAAGCACCAATGGAGAACTAACGGATCTGAACTAGCGCAGACGGACTTTTGACATACACAAACTATCAGTGAGGAGTCTGGAACTTTGTTTTTCGTTTTAAAAACATTTTGACAACGTGTTCTGGCTTTCTGGCCACCTTTTTAGTGGTCGAAGTTTTATTGAAGTGATTCCAGGTGGTACTTTTACAGGTAGGTTACGGTTGTTTTTTAATCATTTATGCAATAGGCAAAATATCTTCTTATTTTTTAAGGCGTAGGACATCGAATGTAGCCTAGATTTATTTCAGGATTTATTTCAAGATTTAGATCAAACAAATTCGATTCGATCAAACAAAAAATATATAATATGCTATTTGTTTATTCATTTTATGATTTCTCATTTAAAAAATAAATATGTGAATAAACAGTAACAGAAATGAATAGGCAGTCAACATATAATAGCTAGTAATCCTAAAATGTTTTCATCATGTCTCCTGCTTGACAAAATGGAATTGTGTTATGATTATCCCATTCATTGAGCTCAAATTCATCTGTAATTAAATACAAAGTGATCGGGAAAAGTTAACTCACTACATCTGCCACATTTTTAATACACTTTAAGACAACAGTTTAACTTTATTTATTTATTTATTTATTTTTATAGTACAGTTAATCAACGCAGTCGAAATTTGGGCCGCGTATGGTATGCCATACATTATTACAAACGTTCGTGTTACTTATAAATAAATGACGCGCCAATGAATGCACAAAACCCACAAATGTTTATAAGCGTCACACTTTAATTCGAATCTAAATATTTCGCTAAGAAGCGCGCAACCTAGATAGGAAAACAATCGCAATACATCAACGGGAGTCCGATAGAATTCTGTGACAAAATATTTAGAGACAATGCTGATGTCTTTCAATCAAATCAAATTCAAAAGTGTTCTAGTAGTATTAGCGTGGCTTGGTCCTGTGTTTGTTGATTCCGGTTTACAGACTCCCCACAAATTAAATCCGAGCGCTTTATCTGTGGACTAAATCCAGTCGTGTCCCAGTTTGGACAGCGTCTCAAAATGACTACGGAAATCAAAGGGTTTAAACAGAAAGTCCTTTTAGATGAAGCATTAAAACTGAGAGAAGAAATGGAATTGTAGAGCTGTAATAATCATCTCAATAATCGTGCTCTCTCTATGATGAGGGTCTTAACTCATATGAGCATGTCAAAAGTCATAGTCTGTATATGGAAGACCGAGGCCGCACTTTGCATAGACAGTTTATTATTATTTTTTTCGTAAAATAAACCGTCTATGCAAAGTGCGGCCTCTTTCTTCCATATATGTATGCTACTTATTAGGATCACATAGAGGTCTAGATAAAGTGTACATTTGTTTTTAATTGATTTTAATCATTTTTCTTCTATGACCTTAGATCACAATGATGACCAAACCTTATGGAAAACCAGGGGATGTGACTGAGCTAGTCAGCTCTCTTGGATGGATGGAGGAAGACCTCAGCTCACAGGATGGTGACAGGACCTCTGAGATAGGTCACTATCCTCTACACAGGAGCAATCGTGAAGAGCTTGGCAGTGAGGATATGGAGGAAGAGGAGGAGGAAGAGGAGGAAATGGGTCTCGACGGAGAAAAGGCGCCCAAGCGAAGAGGTCCTAAAAAGAAGAAAATGACCAAAGCCAGACAAGAACGATTCCGCGCCCGCCGCGTCAAGGCCAACGCAAGGGAACGCTCGCGCATGCACGGGCTGAATGATGCGTTGGAAAGCTTGCGGCGAGTCATGCCTTGTTACTCAAAGACCCAGAAGCTCTCCAAAATCGAGACCCTGCGGCTGGCCCGCAACTACATCTGGGCGCTTTCGGAGGTTCTGGACAGCGGCCAGTCACCTGAGAGCAATGGTTTTATGGAGATGCTTTGCAAGGGGCTTTCGCAACCTACCAGCAATCTCGTAGCCGGCTGCCTCCAGCTTGGGCCCTCGACCATGGTGCTCAACAAGATGGATGAAAAGTGCGGGGTGCCAGGAGCAGGTGGACCGCAGGGTCACCCCATTAGCTATCCCTCGCCGGGACTTCCCAGTCCACCCTACGGCTCGTTGGAGGCCTCACACTTGCTTCATCTGAAGGGTTTCAAGGGGACTGCCTATGAGAACTCCTCACCCAATGAATGTAGCAGCGGGACGCCGCCTTACGACGGCCCTCTCACGCCGCCACTCAGCATCAGCGGCAACTTCGCCCTCAAACAGGAGCCATCTCCTCATGAGGCCGAGAGGAACTTTACCCCTCACCCAGTCCACGCCACCCATTACATCTCCTCACACCCTTACCCACCCACCTCCTTGGCCGGTCTTCCAGTCCCTCAGGGTCACCCTCTATTCCCAGGCTCCCGTTACGAGCTCCCTTTAGAGATGGCTTTCGAGCAGTTTGCCCCTTCGCACATTGTGACATCACAGATGAGCAGCATTTACAGTGAATAAACAAATATGACCACCAGAGACGCTCAGCAATTCTGCCTCCTGCTCCTCAGTGCGCCTCCAGGGGCCCAGCACATTTAAGGAGACACTTTGCATGTATCCTGTCTGATCCCTTAAGAGACCATAGCGGTCACTGAGAGAGAGCGAGAGAGAGTTTCTGAAACGCAACCTACCTGTGGCAATTGAACTACTGAAAAAGAGATGCATATTTTTTTTTTTTGTTAATTTATTCTTGGTTTTTGTCACGACTGAGTTTGTTACTATTTTAAATGTTATTTTGAATTGTTCTGGGATTTGTATTCTGTATACACTTGTTCTCTTTCTCAAATAGGATGGCTTTTTTGGACATGTGCCATAAAAGTGCATCAAATTGACATGTAGACAAACGCTGGAAGGATTTTAGACGCTTAAGGAGAGCAAGAAGATGAATCTAAGTCTCTTGAGCACTGTTCAACCAGATGCTGATTTGCCTCTGAACAAAACACGACACAAATGAAAGAATGAAGGAAAAAGATCCAAAATTTAGCACACTACGTTTTTCCTAACAAATGCATTTATTTATGACTGTATTTATTATTTATTTTGATGACAATTGTACATGTTTTGAAACAATTTGTCAGCACTGTTTTTATTGGTTCTTTGGTACACTGCCAGTAACGGCTACCAATACTCATAAAGTATTTAATTTATTTATCATTCAGTTTATTGTATTTTTGTCATTCTCCACAATATTTGTAATCTTGCTCAAGCATTTGTAAATATTTGCCTGTTTCGCACTTAATAAAATAAATATTCTTATATAATATGACACTATTTTGTTTCTTTATTTTTACCATTATTAATGATCATATTTGTTTAGAGATTCTAGAATGTAAGAAAACATAATGATAGATTGAAAAATGCTATAATTTTAACAATAAACCATACATTTAAAAATGCATTCCATATTATAATGAAATATTTAATTAGATTCTATCATTATAATAAAAACTGTAATGCTTTATTTCTTTACAATAGTTTTGCTTAATGGATTCTGTAATGTTGAATATTCTATAATATTCCATGATTTATTTTAGAAAAAAGTTGGGTTACAATCGATTTTAAGGTGTCCGAGTTATCTGAGTAATAATAAACTACATTAAAAAAATCTTTCGTGATTAGTAATCACAACATTTTTTTCTTTTGTCAAATCAACTTAAATAATTTATTTAGTACAGATAACATAATTTTGAGTTTCTGATGATTAAATCAAGCTCACTTTTTCCATTTCAATGAACTTAAAATTTTAAGTTCAACCAGGTTACTTACTTGAAGTTAAACCAACAATATGTTTTTGGAGTTAGTTGCATGTAATTATGCAAAATTTAGTAAAGTAACTACATGTAACACTGTAAAATAAAGTGTTACCAAATGCTGCATAACAAAATAATTGCATTAGGCAGAATTGCACTTTTTATATTCAAATGAAAAAGAAGAAGAAAAACGATGTTTCACTGCATTTGTGTTTGGTGATGTATAATAATAATGGAGGTTTTAGTGATTAATATTAGTGTTATGATGGGCATGGGAGTCAGTGGAGCATGTGGAGCCATGGGAACACATAGCTGTGGAACAGGTGACTGTGTCATGGGATCCCCTTTCACTATATCACTTGCGTTTTCCCAGCCTTTTCATTGCCAAAATGGTTGGGGAAATCCGCAAAACAAAACGAGCACACAAAAACGGGGTTAATGATGTAGGGAACAAAAGGAATTACAGTGGGAATGTATTTTCAATGATTCCTGTAACTTGCATGTCACATAGCTGTATTGAAATGTATGCAAGACTTTGCCTTTTCATCACTTGAGTACAGGACGATCATTGACTTTAGCTTTGTGTTCATATCGAACAATGCAATGCCTCTCCAAATGAACAAACAAGAGGGTTGATGGGGTGACAAGACAGAGAGGCAGTGTGTGAAAGTGTGTTTATTGTCGGAAGCGGCACTAAGATGAGAACGGGGCGCCTCCGAGGCTGTTTTGCTTGAAGTGGACCCTGCCTCATCCACCATTCCAAAGGTTTGTCTTTTCCAGCCCTGGTTTAAGGCAAGAGAAGTGAAGGAGAAAAAAGGAGCGACTGTTTTAGCGGGCGCCGCTGGTCTATTGTAAGTGCAGTGTGTTCTTTCTCTTGACCTCTAACCTGCATTGTTGTTAGGCTGTTCGTTCGGAGAGCCGAGACAGCTGGGAGAACTGCGGGGGGCTGATGGACAGCTGGGGCCAAACTAGAGAGAGAGAGAGAGAGAGAGAGAGAGCGCAAGGGGAAAAAAAGAGAAAGTGGGAAAGGGAGTAACAAAACAGAAGTGGTGAACGAGGCCCTATTCTTGAGTGACCCCTTTCCCTGTCCTCTTGTGGGTCAGCTGGGCATTGGAATGACACATAGTTCCACACGTTGAGTGGGTGAAGATGAGGAAAGTTCAGAATGGAGGGAGTCAAGTGCACAGAAGGCTTTCAGGCTGTGCCATCAAGAGCATTTTTGTTTTTTTTTTAAAAAAGGAAGTGAAATAAAATTATGTGAAATTACATTTAACTCTAACCTGCAGCTCATTTTAGTGTTTAGTTCCCCTTTATTTTACACAGGTGTAGTTCAGCACATTAACTTCTTTGAACATGATCCAATCAATGTTTTCAATGAAGGCTATTGAACAACAACATTGTTTATATAAAACGCAACAGTTTGGGAAAAGCATTGCTTTAAAAATATTTCTTTAAAATAAATGCTAAATGATGTGAAGTAAATGATGAAAGAATTTTAAGAGTGGGTGAAGTGCTCAAATACATTTGAAGCCATGCAATATACAGTCATTTAGTATATATACTGCACTCTAAAAAATGCTGGGTTGTTTGAACCCAGCATTGGGTTAAAAATGTAATTTAAAAATGTAGCCCAATGGCTGGGTTTGTCCATATTTTACCCAAAATTGGGTTAAAACAACCCAGCATTTTTTAGAGTGTGTGTATATATATATATGAAGAGTTCAGATGCAAAAGCCTCTAAATGCCATTTGAAATGTTCTTCTTTATTGATGATTTTTTATCAAACTTGTATATTTAAGTTCAGTAATTTCACTTAAACGGCAATGATAATTAATTGTTATTTAAGTGAAATTACTGAACTTAAATATACAAGTTTGATAAAAATCATCATTAAAGAAGAAAATTTCAAATGGCATTTAGAGGCTTTTGCATCTGAACTCTTCATATATATACACTCTAAAATTGCTGGGTTGTTTTAACCCAACTTTGGGTCAAATATGAACAAACCCAGACATTTGGTTAAATTTTTTAATTACATTTTTAACCCAAAGTTTGGGTTTGTCCTTATTTGACCCAAAGTTGGGTTAAAACAACCCAGCATTTTTAGCATACATATATATATTTATTTATTTAAATACCTATATATATATATAGGTATTTAAATAAATAAACAAATGAATATAACGCATTTCAAGCAAATCAACTCACAGGAAGTTTATTTTATTTTATAACTCATGTTTATTTTATAACGCATGTTATTCATAAAGCTGCTAATTACTATACACAAAAGTTATATAACAAATTATACAAGATGTTTTAAGAGAGTCTTTGGCATTGTTCATTGCCAATACATCAGCCGTCTGCAGAACTCAGCAGGGCTGAAATAAGGGAACGATTTCAGAGTTGTCAGCTGCTTTCGACATATCCTTTGAAAACAGATGAGAAAGCGCAGAGGAGAAATGTGCTAGTAAAAATGAAAAGGCACGTGAAGACTGTTGCGTTTTCCCATCAGGCAGATGGCCATCGCTGTGACCTCTGTGCCACAGCAAATACCCATAGAAAGTTTATGAAAAAGAAAAAAGAAAACTATAGTACAATCTTAGTGTGGTGTTTTTAAGATTAATTTGAAAACTCAAAGGATTAGAGAAGCAGACAGTCTGCTTCACACTGCAAAGAGTAAACAAGTGCCATTTATAAATGAACAAATAAAAACATTTCACAGAAAGTTTGATTTACAATACATTCAACAGTGCATATCCACACCTGTGGTTACTCTACACCTATACATACTATACGCTAAAATCACTTAATTTCAGGGTTGAAGACCTCTAGACAGTCTCTGCTGTTCATTTAATCCAGAGTTTTGTGTGGCTACAGTGTTCAAATACTTTTTGGGGCCGCTATAGGCAATAGCAGATCTTCATTTACTGCACGAGGTAGTTGCCGTGTGGAGTTGTGATTTTAAAATATTGAGATAAAGAGAAGGAGTGGATGATGGGACATTAAAGTGCAGTCTGAAACCTCTTTCACTCCTCCCCATCTTTTTGTCTCTCTGGCACTAATCCACTGGCCAAACAACGCAGTCTCCTACTAAATGAATGGTCCTGATCCATAGGGGGGGAGATGGGGATAAAGCATTGTGATTAAGATTGTATTAATGGGGCCATAGGAGGCTGGAAGGCTTTAATCAGTGTCTGTGCTGCCGTAATCCCCTGCCTTTAAGCTTCAGCTAACGCTGTGATCCTCCTCCTCATGAGTCACATCACACACACTCACACAAACACACTGGATAGGCCGGAGAACAGTGAGGTCAAGGTACAGAGTTGGACTACAATGAGACTGATAGGTGGTGTATACAAGAAGGCAGCAGGATGAGGAAATAGGGAAGAGTATGATGACAGAGGATGAGGTTTGCAGAAAGACAGCAACAACTAGATAGATAGATAGATAGATAGATAGATAGATAGATAGATAGATAGATAGATAGATAGATAGATAGATAGATAGATAGATAGATAGATAGATAGATAGATAGATAGATAGATAGATAGATAGATAGATAGATAGATAGATAGATAGATAGATAGACAGACAGACAGACAGACAGACAGACAGACAGACAGACAGACAGACAGACAGACAGACAGACAGACAGACAGACAGACAGACAGACAGACAGACAGACAGACAGACAGACAGATAGATAGATAGATAGATAGATAGATAGATATTCACCATTGCACCTGCTCAGGTCAGACTGAAGACTACTATGATCCACAGCAGAGGAAAGGAAAAGGGAGGTTAGAGTTCACAGAAGGGTGGAACAAGCCATTAAAGTGACATTGTGAGGCAAGACTCGTCTCCTCAGAGCTTTTGTGAGGGTGTTGGGTTGTCTAAGTTAAAGAGCTTCTAATAGGATGGTGATGCTGTCATGTTTACCCTGCCTCCCCCCTCTACACGCCCAGTGCATTGTGGAGGTGGCCTGGCTTTGAGCCCCCACAATGGCTGGAGAGGAGGGACAGATGGGGGTCCCTATGGAAGGAGGCACAAAAAGAAAGCAAGGTAGGAGGGCCCGACTGTGTGAGAGAGAGCCTGTAGTTAGCTCACACTGATTGCCATGCAAAGTAATGGAGAGTAAAAGAGAAACGGATGGGAAAAGTAAGAAGGAGACGGAAAAGGGGAGGGAAAAGGTCACAAAGAGATTTGAGAAATGCATAATCATCTATTTAAGCTATGGAATACAGTATAAGCCTGAACGTACTGATGGTGCCCTTCGTAAGTCTAAAGTGGGTACAACACAGCAGAGGATGATGGAGGTCGCAGACTGGACCACTATATGGAAAAGTCTTAAAGCGCTTTAAGTTCACTTTGTAACTCCACTAATCAGTTGACAATACGCAAAACAAGTCAACAAACGTTATTCTGAACATCAAAGTGTATATATTCGTGTTGAGGCATTGTTTAAAGAAAACTTGATGAATATGTTTACTGATGAATTTTGCCAAATTACATATGATAAATGAGAGCGTCCCTGCTTTTTTGTCAATGAGGGTTCCATTCAGCCATGGATCACAACTTTTTCTGTTTCATGTGGTAGCCCAGCCCAATAGTATATTAATTATATATTTAATATAATTTGTTTCCATATTTCACATATAATTATCAATTCAATTATCGGCAAATTATTCATATCACATGAATACTTATTCAGAATACGGTGAGTTTGGACACACAGCTTATGACATCACTGCGACATGATTATAAATATAATAAGACTTTATAATGTTTATCATTTTATTATTTGCATTTATCGTTGTTTATCTCTGCTGTGCTATCCATGTCCATAAGCATTTTATTTAAATATAAAACATTTTCTCAACAGTCTGTCTGGTCCAAACATTTTAGGATAGGTCTTTGTCTAGCACGTTTGGCCCCTGCATGAGCTAATCTATGCTCCTCCAGGTGAGTCCCTCAGCATTAATTTGGCTCAGTGTGTCATAAAGGCTGAATGGAGTGGGAGTTGATTTATGTGTGAAAGAAGGGGATGCTGAGCGGAGGTGAGGCAGGGGTGTGTGGCGGAGCCTCTTCTGGTGTAAGATGAGGAGAGCCGAGGGGGAGGACCCGCGCACAGCAACAGATGGGCCCCAATGGCGCTCTCAGGTTGTAAACTTTCTGTTGGGAACATCTGTCAGTTTGTCCATATGCCACATTTTGAGAGGAGAAGCCATAGTCAGTGTGGAGTGTGGACACCTGTCAGTCCCTGTGATGAGACAGGAAGTGATGGACTGTGCACCAGCATTTGATATTCATGCTACACGTGTGATGCGAGCATTGCTGAAAGGCAGAAAACGAATTGTTAATGCTAACTGAATTAACATATGCAACTGCACACATATAGACTCGAGCTGGTGGACAATTCGACCTTTAAAAGTTGTGAAAAAGAAACTTCCACATTATGATGCAACTACATGAAATCAAAAGTGTGATTCCAGACCTTTATTTTGAGATTTTAAGGGTGTCCTTTAAACTCCTACTCTAGATGAGTGTTACATCATCTCTCTCTTTTTTTATATATATATATAAAAGTCGTATTTTTCTATTTGCTCTGTTGTGAGCGGATAAAGGAGAATTAAGCAGTTGATCAGGGCTCAGTGTCCAGAGTGTTGCATTAGACAGTAATCCAGGGCATAGGAAGGGGGAGATGGGATAGCATCCCTAATCCCTTGCCTACCCCATCCCAAACACACATTCGGTTTATACTGTTATCACTAAAGAACGCTTCACATTTTTATTTTAAGAGTATGATAAATGATTAATCTAAGAACACCACCAAGGCAAAATTTTCAAACGGACCTTATTTCTTTCCTGTCTGCACCTCAAAACACCATCCTCAGTACCAGAGCCCACTGAGCCCTCCAGTGGTAGGCTGTTTTTACCCACAGTTCTCACCAACTCCACTACAATCTACAGTGACAGATGTTATGGAGGCAACAGTTGGTATTGAGAAGGAGGGGCTTGGGGCCATCTGCCCAGGGTCATGGTTTGGATAGAAGGAGGTCTCACAAGAGAGAAAAAGTGGCAAGTTGAGCTGCATAACTAGTGTTGAATACTTAAGATTGTTCTGTTAAGCATCACTTACAGAAACTGTAAGTGAAATCATACGGGACGCTTCACAATTAACACATTTGTTCACGTACACTTTGAATTAACGCTTCAGAAGTGTCCAAAGCAGGTGTCAGTGGCAAAACAAAAAGCAATTTGTGGATGGAACAAAAATATTTCATTTATTGGTGAAAATAAAGCACGCCGTTAAAATCATTTTTAGTCTCTGGATATCAAATAAGAGCTCTCAGATTTTTGCTTGTGGCCTCCACCTCATCACGAAAGTAGGCAATCTTCCGGTGACCCATCTTCCTCTGGAGAGGGGAGGTTAGTTTTTACACAAGGTTATTTAAAAATAAATACTACATAATTGAAAAATCAATCATGAAGTATTATGGTGGTAGACTATCACCAACGACACATAAATCTAACACCATGACTGCATTCACACTTACAATGTAGATGCGAAGTCGCTCCTGTTCCAGCTGAAAATACTCAATGGCCGTGAGCTCGTCAAATGTCTTTTTCATTTGGAGAAAGGCACAATTGGGTGAGCGTTTGGCATGCTCGGACCTTAATGCCAGTCAAAAGAGATTTAGTGTTTAGTGTTCCCTTTTTCAACACAAAGTGAATTGTTACAACCTCAAATTTACAGTTAGATCAAATTGCTGTTCAGAGGAAAGCTTTGACGATAGCAAAAGACAACACACCCCTTGAATCATGTTTTTGAATTATTGCCATCACGTCGTCAAAAATCACAGCAGAACCACGGCGCATGTCACAGCAACACTCAAGCTGTTTTCATTACTGAATGATTCAGCATTTGGAACGAATCGAGTCAAAGATTCAATGACCCATTCATAAACATCGGTCTCATTCTTGAATGAATCAGCCGTTTGAACGAATCGTTTGACTGAATGATTCAATGACTCACTCATTAAGACGGTCGCCTGCCACCAACTGGTGGTTTAGTGTTAAATGTTTAAAAGTAGTATCATTCTTTCCAACGTTTCTTCTATGTAAATTTAAATCAATATCATAACATTATTTTATGCAATTGTAATTTTTTGTGTGTAAATGATTTAATTTTATCAGCCCCTAGGGTAATAGCCCTATAGTGTCTTATTATTCTAAATAATTGAATTTATTGATCAAATTTAGGAATTTAAAATGAAAGATTAAGCATACATTTAATAATATTGGGGGAGGGGATGCCCTTTAAAGGTGCCGATATTAGTATATGGTGATTTAAATATCAAAGCGGATTAAACACTAAAAAGAAAATTGTTTCAGAATAAACTGACAAAAAATAAAAATTAAAAATCCGGACGAGCAAGTGAATGACAGATTTCCGAAGGACAAGCGTGTGAAAGGCTAATGTCGAGCCCTCCTTTTAGCAATGTTATCAGGGTACACATTCACCGGTAGGCAGTGGTCCACCTTACACAATTCATAGTTTACCCACCTCTTTTTTTACCACTACACCTTTGACAACAGTGTATTAGATAAATGAAAAATAAAAGTTGTCTCTAGAAAAACAAAGGCGAGATTGTAAAGGTGTGCTTCAGGCAGGAACTCACCAGGGGTTGTCTTCTGGCTCCCAGCCCTCCAGCTCTCGGAGACAGTAGAAACAGCAGGCCACGTCTGGCTCATTCTCACTAGGACAGTGCACAAAACCCGCCTTGGCCATCTGAAGAAAGGATTCTCATTACTCCTTTTAATTAAAGCAGTCGTGGTTTTGCAAAATTACTGGCATCCCTGTACTCAACACAGTCTAATTTGTCGTCATTTCGACTTCCACTTATTAACAGTCTTAACTATTTCTCTCTTCATGTCTTTCCCCCCCATGACGCACTCACCAGCTCTGGTGTGCACTGACAGTCTTCTCGAAAAGGCCACTCGGAAAACGTCTGAAGACGCTTTTCATAACTATACATCAGGTTAAACGACAAAAGCCGGGACGCAATCACTTCTGGGTTAGACATTTCTGAAGCTCAAACACACTACCTACAACTCACCGTCTCACTATATACCTTTTTGAGTGTGCCTGTATATTTGTGTGGGCGCTTTTGATTAGGCCTATTGATTGATGAATCTACGACAGCTGTCTATCAGAGCAACGAACGGCATTGATGTAAAACACGATCTTGAAACCTGAAGAGTAAATTTGTGATTTTATGCATGTAGATTACCAATCTTTATTCTTTAATATTGTTTTAAAAACATTTCGCGTTAAAATTATGATCATGTTCACTTCGTTCACTGATTTTACACATTTGAAATAGTAGTGTGATGTCTCCCTCTGCTGGACGAACAGAAACACACATTTGAAATGTGATATTCCATATTCACATTAAAATTCAATGAAAAACAGGCTTCGTTTCCAGAGTCAATCACACTAACAATGTACAAAAAAATACTAACAAAATCACTGACTCCAAAAATGTGTAAATAAAGAAAAAAGTTAGGATAGATAGATAGATAGATAGATAGATAGATAGATAGATAGATTATATATTTTATTTGTTTCATGCCATTTTCTTGGACCAAATGTTTGTATGTTTGTATAAATTATTATGAGTCTTGCGTCATTGACTCCAAATCAGTCAAAGAATTAAGTTATTTTATTTGCAATAAAACTTAACAGTAAATGCTTTGGAATGGAGATCTAATGTCAAACATAATCCTTAACAAGCCCTATAAAAATTCCTGTGTTATGTAGTTAACCGCTACAGGCTGCACAAATAGTTCAGTGGATTCCCTGGGCATCAAACATCATAAGCCAATTACTACACTCAAACTTGAGTCTAGAGGCCTTAGCAAGTTGTGTCCCTTCTCCTAACCAATTACCGTAAGCCAATATACTCCATAAAGTGAGATCATAGTGATTGGCAGACAACATTACTGGTTTGCGGTGTGAGCGTTTGAAAGCTGTTTATGACTGGTGGATATAGGGAAAGGCCCTGCTGCTATCACCATGTTCTGTAACTGTATCTTACTGCGCCTGGCTGTTGAAATGTGCTTACCACTTCCAAAAAGCGGCCCCTCCACCCCTCTCTGCCCTTCATTTGATAGGAACTTCCCTGACTGTTGGTTTTGTGTGTCACAAACACATTCTGCTGTTAATATGTTAATCCGTCTGAAAGGTGAACGTGAGATCTCTCAACTAGGATGGTCATATTAATTCTAAAGGAGTTTTTTCCGTGAAATTATTTGTGAGATTTGGAAGATTCACGGCTGCTTGTTCTCTCTTTTGTGGTGATAGTTTGTCACTTAATATTCAGTCTAGAGTTTCACATCAGACATGACATTTGGCACATTCCTTTCAGGCGAGACCCCACACCGGAGCTGTCACTCATTTGCAGTCGCCCGCTCAGGAGAAGTTAAGGGGGAATACGTCACCATCAGCAGTTATATGGCTTTCATCTGGTCAGTGGCTTGAGCAAAACCACAAAGTGAATTATACTTCATGATCAAGCCACAGACTTGATGGAACTGTCTGGAATTACATTGCATGGCTTTTTTATTCATTGGCTTTTTCCTTTACACAGGACACTGGAGAACAGACAATAAAGTAGAGAGAGAGAGTGATCGGGACATGGCCCAGACCGGAATCGAACCCAGATCCCCAACAGTCATGTGCCGCAGCTCCAACATGACTGGAAGTTTCCTGATATTCTTCTCCAATTGCAAGATTCCCGAATTCCAAATGTAAAAGGCTTGAGTTTTATTTATTTATTTATTGAAAAATAAAATTAAATAAATGATATATATGTATTAAATAAATTATATATTAAATATAATGAAATAAATGAAATTAAATAAATTATATATATATTTATTTATCAATATAATACTAATTGTTGTTGGTTGTTATTATTGAAAAATACATATTAAATAATATTTACAAATTAAATAAATCAAAATTGCTATGTGATAATAATAATAATAATATTATTCATAGTTGTATTTTTTATAATCCAATTGTAATTAAAATTACATTAATCACATTTTTTGTCTTCCCTAACAAGATTTATTTGATGCAATTGAGATTTGAGATTACTGTAAAGCTCTTGAGATGTATGTGTGCATATATAAGTATGCACACATTTATTTGTCCATAAGTACAACAGAGTGGATGGAATTGACTGAATATACTTTGCATGGGTTTTTCTTTTACTAGAGAATTTTCCTGATATCCTTAGTTGCAAGATTCACAAGCTTCCATTTATCACTTTTGAAGCTTTAATGTAAAAAAATCACATGTTATTTAACAACAATATTGTCCATATTATGAAATAAGACCTGGACACTCATTGCATTTTGTCACAAGCTGTCTACATCTTCCCAGCTATCATATATATATCATGTAACAGTCCCCAGTCGGTACCTCTCTCACTCTCCATCCCGATCTGTGCATTCATTGACACTTGACTCTTTCTCTCTCTCCTTCACTCACCAGCTCCCTCTTCGTTCTCCTCCTCTCTCCTTCCTCACACAGTTGTCCTTACTTATTACTGTCCTGGTGTGATTATCTTCTGGAATCTCTTGGTCTTGTCCTGTATTCTCAGTGTGGTGAGACTGAGTGTGGGATGGGCTAAAAGTGGGAAATGTGTGTCTCTGTGTGATACTTGCGCAGGAGACACTCCCGTAAGTTCATCAGGACTATTTTGGCTCCAAATATCCGGACGCTCTGTTGTCCATGCCAGTGAGGGTTTCTACGAGGAGTTTGTGGTGTCAGGGTACAAGTGGAACGACTCTCGGAGGCAGAAGGAGGAAACGTGAATACTGGAAACAGTCAGAGGAAGAGGGTTTAATGTGGGGCTCAGGTAAGAACATCCACTAATTTCTATTTTTGTTTGCAGTCTCAAGTGAACACAAAACTGTTTTCCCTGGAGAGCCTTTTTATCGCATATGCAGAAATGCACATCATATACTGTACGTGTTTATACTCATAGTCTGTTATAGAATCAAGCTGATATTTCTAGGGTTAAAATGAATTATTTGTGTATCATGGCATTTACAATAGATGTACACATATCCAGGACATAGATGAATAGTTTAGGAGATGTGATACATCTCATGAAGTTACAAGACCCATGCAGAGTAGCCCAGCATCTCCTAATTTACTCATGTCAATGTTGTCATTAACAAGATTGTATTTCATATGAAGAAGTGCATACCTCTCCTGGACATTTGAACTGGCATTTACTGTAGATTTACATCTCCTCTTGTTTCTTCATCAGTAATAAGAAAGCTGCCGTTCTGTGTGTGTATATGTGTAAGTGCACATGCCTGTAGGCTTTGTGTTAATGTGTGAGTTTGATTGAGTGTAACAATTTCAAAAGAAATATTGCCCACAGCCATTAATGAACAATATTCCATCAAAAAATATGCCTGGACTGACCTTTTAAAATGTACCTTTGCTCATTTGATTTTGCTTTTATCGATGTGAAGGACATCGGCTGTAAAAAAAATGTAAAAAGAAAGTTTTTTATTTTAAGGGAGAACAAACTAATTTTTTGACTTTTAATATATGTAGCCTACTTGGAAGTAAAATCGAAAAGGAGCTTAGCTTTGAAGGTCAGTATTTCTTAAGGCCTGAGGCAATGTTCACACATTGTGAATTTTGAACTTTGCAGTAAAGCTTTTAAACCAGCGATGTTTAGTGAAGCTCTTGAGATGAATGTACGCTCATGTAAGCGTCTATATGTACAAGCCTGGATATGTGCTGAGAGATAAATGGGTGCAGACATACTGTAGTATTAGGAGGCTCTCTGTCTTCTGCCAAAGGTGTGAAATTAGCATCTCAGTGTGAGAGAAAGTGACAGTCAACTTCAACATTCCCCTCATACGAAGAGCTGGAAAAGCACACAGGCTATCCATTTGGAAAAGTCTCATCCCTCCAAACGCTTTCTAGAAATATTTCCTTCTTGTTGCAACAGGAGCATAACTGATATGGATCCCCTCTTGATCAATATTCTAATTTTAGTGTGATCATCCACTGTCATGCAAACGGATACTCGTAAGCTGGCTGCTGGCTCTGTGCTTTTCAAGGGCATTGAAGCGGAACCGCGAAGGTCTTGCACATATTTAATGAATATCAAAATAAAACCTTTAACCTTGCACTTGCAGTATGTTTCAAACTAAATTAGATTTGATGTACATCTATGGATACAACATCTCTTTTATTAACAAACATTTCTTTTCCTTATCATATATGGCTGTTGTTTTTCCTCTTGCAGAGTAAGTCTAGGTTATTATTTATATGTCGGGCTGGGTGCTGGACGTCCCTTTGACCTTTCAGTGCAGTCTCTAAATTCACCACCCGTCCGCCAGCACACACTGCTGTTGATATATACAGTATGTTCTCAGTGCACATGGCACATATACACTGTGGCTCTCTCAATACATGGACAGTTTAAGACAAAGAAAGGAGAGGAGGGAAAAACTTGGAGTTAGGTTGTGAAATATGCACATCCCGCACAACTCCAAGGGAAAAACTTGGAGTTAGGTTGTGATATATGCATATCATGCTGATATTTGGAGAAAAATGTAATATGGTTCTAAATGAAGAGTTCAGACGCAAAAGCCTCTAAATGCCATTTGAAATTTTCTTCTTTAATGATGATTTTTATCAAACTTGTATATTTAAGTTCAGTAATTTCACTTAAATAACAATTAATAGGTAATCTTCATTGCCATTTAAGTGAAATTACTGAACTTAAATATACAAGCTTGATAAAAAAATTATCATTCTAGAAGAAAATTTCGAATGGCACTTAGAGGCTTTTGCATCTGAACTCTTCAAATATAGGCTATAAGACATACAAATAGTCCAGTCATTTTATGAAAAAAGGTTGAACAAATTGCAACAGAAGCAAACTCAACTGATTTCCTATCCACAATATGTCCTGAGTAAGGAAGAAGAAGAAGAATCCCATTAGGGGAACGTTTCGAAAAAGACCCAAATATATCCACACGCCTATTCATTCTTTTTCTCACGTGAAAAGGTAAAAAATTTTAACCTTTAGATATCATCATTAAAATCACTGAGTTCATTATACTTACATCAAGACAAACAAATATGTATTGCAAGTTTTTTGAAGTTGTTTGTTAACATGGACAAACAATGCATGATATAATTACATATTATCAAATTTGCATAGTCACCCAA